ATTCTTAGACCTATAATCGAATGGATCAATACAAACCATGCATAGAGTGTTTTGGGATTTAGGCTAAATTTACCAAAATGCCTTTTTTGAAAACATATTAATAGGCCTCAATTCTTCACTTCTAGGAGGAATGAGCGAGCTAAAACTAAATCTATATTCATGAGGTGATACCAGAACTATTTAGAAAACCAGAGGGAACAAAAAACAAATTTTTTTAATATTGAAATAGGGTTACAACCTAACACAAATGGAAAGGGGAAATACAACAGCAAACCAATCTACGACTAGAATTGGAAGAAAAGATTTGAGGGCGGAGGTGGCGTTAGTGAAGTGTTAAGGGGAAAAGGGAAAGGTAATGGGTTGTCAATTATGTTGGAAGGGTGGTTGGTGGTTGGTGGTTGGTTTGGGGGTTTGGGCAAGTGGGGTGGTGGGTAGGGCGAGAAGGAAGGGTGGTGAGGGGTGTTGGGTGATGGCGAGGTGTGTAGGGTAGCAAGGGAAGTTTCTGCAAGGTACCTCGTAAGATGCAAGGGGCAGTTGGGAGGGCTGGATAGTAAGGCCAATAGCAGGTTGGAGGGGAATAGGGTGCTAGGAGGCAAAGTGGAAAGGTTCGACAGCAAGACAATGGCGAAAAAGGGGCGGAAAAATAGTTGGGATGGTATGAGGATGGTCGACAGCTAATGGACGGGAAGGAGAAAGGTTAGGGAGGAGGATAAAGGAAGATACATCACCTCCTTGAAGTAGGATATAGCCGGAGTACCACCACCTCCTTGGATGCAGCTCTAGAATGGAGAACAGTTCCATAAAGGAATCTGAAAGCAACTCACACCAAAACTACCCCCACATTCAGAGAACAATTTATAAATGCTCATTGACAAAGAAAAGGAAAGAAATAAAGAAGAAAACTCCTACTCTCACACAAAATGGAGTGGGGAGGCAAGAAAAATCCAAAGAGCATCCTTTAAATACTACCCATACGGAGAAGATCACCAAAGGAAGAGATGCAGGCTGTTGTATCGCGATCCCGCCTTCGCGTTCTTCCTCCCGCTGTTGCGACTCGTCCCTGCTCCTTTTGTTCTCGCGAAGGTTCACAAGGGTTGCCCCACACCCCTCCTCTTGATTATGTGCCCCACTACAGGGGCGCAGTTAGCGCCCTGTATCAGTCTCCTGGGGTTGGGGGAGCTTCGACTTCATAAGTCGAAGCTTTCGATTCATTGTCAGCCACCCCTGGATCCCATTGACGACTGCACAGTTTCTCAAAGAATATGAGGGTCTTCCCCAACTTGCGAGTAAATGTTCATATCGATCTGTCCTTCTGAGGTTGTGGATCACGCCTATATAGTTGAGTCTTCACAAAGTAACCCATGATTGGTTCAATTGGGTGTGTGGTGAGAGTAATTTGACCCTTCTCACACAACAATGGCGCTGATGGTACGGTGTCGACCTGACATACCCTCAGTTGTATCTGTCCTGTATCTGGAGCGGGTGTCTCGGTCCTATCGTCCGGTGTCATCACTAAAACTGATCCCACTGACACTGCTTTGCTGGTAAGGGTTCCTGTGATCTCGGGCTCCGCCAAGGGAAGTAGGATGGTGTGCTTCCCTTGGTGAAGGAATATGTGTTCCCGAATCCATCGTGATTAGTCCTGTAAATCTGTCACAGTCATCCCAATAGAAAGTGACAGACATCTATAGGACCACATTACACCACACCCGGTCCTACATTTGGCTTCCAATTGAAAACTATGCCAAACATCTTCGGTCAATGCTGGCCCGATTCTTCTTCTTCAACCACGTCAGTGAATACGATTGGGAATGTCTTTGAGTTGCAAGTCTCAATATCTCGACCATTCGTATCTATGCCACGTTCTTGTTGCTTTTGTTGTCGATGATTAGACTGCATACATTTTCGTTCACTATGTAGTGGGTATAGAACATGTGGTGAAACGTGAATCCTTAGTGTCCTAAGTCTGCAGGATCCATCGAATCATGATTGCCTCTCATTCGTTTGTGGAAGTTGATACAGCTCACTCCTTTCCTCAGCTTTATCTTCATCGCTAATCTCTTCGACGACGCCTTAATCAGTAAGTGAGACTACTCTGCTCGTGGGACAGTTGTAGGCTATATGGTCTTAAAAGTGGCATTTAAACATTTCCTGACTGGTACAGTGTTGGAGGCGCTCCCTTTCTTTTGCTTCTTCTCGCTTTGATTCAGACTTTCATTCCCGTGTCCGGCTTATTAGTCTCTTTCGGGGTTTCTTTTTCGATTGTGGTAACTGTAGGTGACTGCTTGCATAAAGTTTGTTGCCTAAAGGATGACTGTTGCTTACTTTGTTGTTGTTGTCTCTCTACCTTTAAGGCCAGTGTTTGGACATCTCTTAGCGTCTAGTACAGTTGCAACTGCACCATTTTGTTAATGCAGGCTTTAGTCCCACAAGATATCTGGCTACTGTATGCTCTTCCGTCTCTATCAGTTTGCACTTAGCTTGTGATTGAACTGGATTTTGAACTCCTCCACTAATAGATATCTCTGCTGAGTGTTGTGGAGTTTCAGAAACATATCCTTGTGATAGTGGGGTGGAATGTACTTTTTCTGCATTGCCTTCTTCATCTTCTTCCACCTTGTGATTTTCTCACTATCATCTCTTTTCCTCTGCCTCTGCATATTTTCCCACCATAGGGAAGCGCTCTTCTTTAGCTTAATGGCAGCTAGCTTGACCCGCCTATCCTCTGGTACCTCATTTTACTCAAAAATCCATTCAATGTTTCCAGTCACTCAAGGAATTCATTTAGATGCATGCCTTCTTCAAACTTGGGTAAATTCACATTGATTTCGTAGTCTTTGTGTTATCTCACTGGTATCTCCTCTCGGGAATTCCCCCTCTTAGAGCGATTCAGATATTCCTCTCTAGGCCTCCTCTGATACTGAATCCCGAAACAACGTGACCTGTTCTCTTAATCGCTGAAAGTCACCTCATGGAATGTATTCAGATTGTCATTTCTTTCTCTCCCTCAACTCTCTAGATTTGGGTCGAAGGCAATCTCTTCTTGGTTTCTTTCATCCAATTTTGCTAGTCTCCATGTAGACGACAAATTTCTCGTTGAATCTCTTCTCAGATTGAGTCTGGTTTGTCTCTTTGTGATGGCATGGCTAGGGTTGAGAAGCGGAAAAATTAGATGGAGATGGATTAGGTAGGGGCGAATACTAAGAAATCGTAGGATGAGATTAGGGTTGGGCTAGCTCTGATACCAATTTATATCAGAACTAGTTAGAAAATTAGCAGAAACAAAAATAACTTTCATTAATATTGAAATAGGGTTACAATCTGATACGAATGGAAATGGGAAATATAAAGGCAAACCAATCTCCGGCTAGGACCGAAAGAAAAGATCTAAGGGAGGAGGTGGCGTCGGCGAAGTGGTAAGGGGAAAAGGGAAGAGTTGAGGGTTGTCAGATATGTTGGAAGAGTGATTGGTGGTTGGTTATGGGGTTTGGGCAAGTGGGGTGGTAGGTAAGTCGGCAAGGAAGGGTGGTGAGGGGTGTTAGGTGATGGCAAGGTCGTCGGGTAGCAAGGGATGTTGTTGTGAGGAACTCGGTAGGATGCAAGGGGCGGTTGGAAGGGCTGGACAACAAGGCTTGCAGCGGGTGCGGGAGGGGGGGGAG